AAGAAGAAGAAGAAGAAGAAGAAGAAGAAGAAGAAGAAGAAGAAGAAGAAGAAGAAGAAGAGAAGAAGAAGAATAATAATGATAATAATAATAATTTCAGAAGGATGAGCAGGTAGCGAAGGAACTGGGAGCGTTCTCACGAGAGATCAACACTTTAACTGTGAGTACGCCACCACGGCATTGACCTGTCACGCACTAAACATAGACGCATTACATACATCATGGGCTGGGATAATATCCTTCGTTGACATTATCATTATCATCGTCGTCGCCATCATCATCATCGTCGTCGTGGTCGTCATCATCGTCATCATCATCATTTTCTTTGTCATCTTCTTCTTTTTGCTTCTTCTCTTCTTCATTTTCTTCTTCATTTTCATTATCATCATATTCTTCTTCTTCTTCTCTTCTTCTTCTTCTTCTTCTTCTTCTTCTTCTTCTTCTTCTTCTTCTTCTTCTTCTTCTCCTCCTCTTCTCTTCTTCTTCTCCTCTTCATTCTCTTCTTCTTCTTCTCTTCTTCTCCTATCTTTCTTCTTCTAGTTTTTCTTCTTCTTCTTTTTCTGCTTCTTCTTCTTCTTCTTCTTCTTCTTTTTCTTTTCGTTGTTATTATTCGCCATTATACGTCCCCACACGTCACTACACGTCACCACACGTAATTTCACGTCACCACACGTAATTCACGTCACCACACGTCAGAGAACGTGTTGAATACGCAGCACAGATACATAATTATCACGCATGTGTGCGCGCATGTGTAAAAACTGCCTGCATACGTAATGAATACATGTTATAGCCTTATTGCATCTGTTTCATACATCCGCGCAGACATTGCGAGGTTTTAGTAATGAGATTACGTCAGTGAGCTCTATACAATAATAACCTAGTGAACAGCATGTTATCAGTATAATATAGTCTGATAGAGTCTATATTATACACTCCTAATGTTGTTATATACACCTAAGTGGATTATGCTGTAGCGATGCAGACTAATGGACAAGTGTCTCCATCTATTTGCAGACGAAGCTACAGAGAGAGGAGATTCTCGCAAAGTTGTGGAAGTCGTCTGAAGTGTGAAGCATGCTCATTTGTTTGTTACTATACACGCGCTCCCATCGGCTTTCTTTTACTTAGTTGATTACCAGTTGATGCTAGATGTAATGTGGCGGATTGAGGCAGTAGTTGCGCATGCGCATGGCGCCTCTCCTGGCAGCAGTTGTAACACTGCGTTGCATATAATAACATCATGTTATTATATACAGCTCTGTGAGTATTAGTAAACAGTGAGAGAAAAGGTAATTATACGAGAGAAAGACATATATATATAGCGCCACCTATAGGAGGTATTTACAATCACTGCTCGCGTCTTAGTCAAAGTGCGTATATTTATCTCACTGTGAAATCTGCTCCCTATGCGTAGCAACATATAATATCTCTGACGTTGATCGTAAGTATGGGGATAGTGCTCGGAAGATGCAATGGCTTACGTGCAATTGTCATTATTACAAGTTAAGTATATATAACACGTTTGTGCGTTGTATCGTGTGCTTTTTAAGAGATAATTTTTCAAAAATAAGAAGAAAAGAATGTTATCTCTGACCATGCGGTCAAATACATGTTAGTGGAGACGAAATGTTGGCGTTCATTGCAATTTTTCTAACGGCTAAGAAAGTAACGCATCTTACGCATGTGTGTAGCGGAGGCATGGACCGTCTCTACGAGACGCAGATCCACTGCCACTACCCCCGTGTGTGTAGCGGAGGCCTGGACCGTCTCTACAAGACGCAGATCCACTGCCACTACCCCCGTGTGTGTAGCGGAGGCCTGGACCGTCTCTACGGGACGCAAATCTACTGCCACTACCCCCGTGTGTGTAGCGGGGACATGGACCGTCTCTACAGGACGCAGATCCACTGTCACTGCCCCGATTGAGTTCTACGAGTTTATCACTATGGAGCTATACAGAGTGAAAACACTAACAGATGTAATGCGTATCATTTAAGCGCAACTGATTCCTTTTAATTCCGAATTGAGATAATAATTCGATATTTATATAGTGATACGTGCTAAACAACCACACATTCTCGCGAGATTGCCGAAGCCGGAAATTGGAAGCAGACGGGCGTCCCGTTACCGGAAATCGTGCGTGCGCCTGTGTGTACGGTCTCGTGAAATTCGCCAAAACAATTATATTCAGTGGACAAGAGATTTTCCTTTTTAATGAGCGATCGTATAGAGACAAATACAAAACATAGAGTATAGACTAAAAATACAGAATATAGAATACAGAATATATATTACAAAATCAACAATATAGTATACAAAATACAAAATATAGAATACAGTGCACACGGGAATTATTTTGTTTCTCCTTGTCATTTGTCATATTCTCATTTAAAATGAATTCTGGACAGATTTAATATAGGGACAAATACAAAATATACATGCGTGCGATCTATATATAAGGTAGGACGTATGGTATTGGACTGGGAGTTAATAGTACAGGGTACAACTCTTGATAGAAGTTTATCCTACAGTTGTTATGTGAAATATAGTACAAACGCCCCAGATTTGAACAAATTATGTAAGGTTTGTACGTAGTAGAGTGCGTAGAAGATTGCAGTGAGAGTCAATCGTCCAAGGATCAATTCGAGTAAATTATTGTTAATATGTTAGCTAATTATGGCGTGTGTGTGTGCGTGTGCGTGCGCGTGCGTCCGCGTGCGTGTGTGCGTGTGCGTGTACGTGTACGTGTGTGTGTGTGTACGTGCGTGTGATGTGCGTGTGTGAGTGTGCGCGCGCGTGCGCGTGCGCGTGTGCGTGTGTGTGCGTGTGTGTGTGTGTGTGTGCGTGTGAGTGTGCGTGCGTGCATGCATGCATGCGTGCGTACGTGCGTGTGTGTGCGCGTGCGTACGTGCAGGCGTGTGTGTAAGATGGTAGTATTGTCACTATAAGCAATACGGTTCTTCCTCTTCCACACAGCTTGTCGACGGTGATCGGTCGCGCCAACAATTCGAATAACGTGGTGACGACGTCAGTGTGACGTAATCGTCGCAGTGTTTTCATTGTCACGTGCTGCATAATCTGTTCGCACGAACACCGCACGTCGCTCGTCACAGCACGGCATCACTGAATGGTTGCGTACACTCCGTCTGCACCGACGTCCTGCCCAGTGGCGCCACCTACTGGCGCGTATGTGTAATCGTACTCGTCGGCCGACGCGCCGGCTTCGTAAATGTCGTTGACTTGCATTGAAGCACCGCAACCTCCTTCGTAGATATCGTTATAGATGGCGTCACCGTCATTCGCTGCTCCATTGTTTCCGGCAGCTCCATCGGCCGACTCGTACATGTCGTTATAGGTCATGCCGCCGGGCTGGCTAGTGGCGCCCCCTACATCATCGCGCAGCTTAGTTTGTTGAGGCGTCGACGAATCGTATATCTCGTTGTAGATGATGCTCTCTTGTTGGTTGGCTGGTGCGTTGGTTGAGACAGCGCCACCTGGGTCGTCGGAAGAGGGAGTAGAGAGAGGAGCAGTGTCGGGTCTTTTTCGCCTCCTGTCGGTAAAATCAGTTAGTGTCAAACGCCGTGAGTCATGTTGGATCGTCTGACATACTTTTCAGGCATGGCGGTATACCTAACGACACTCACATACGCAAACGCACGTACAGCTCAACGAACGCAATTACGTTAACGCACGCAGCAGACACCGGCCCCCCCCGCGCCGATGAAGCAATATCACACACACACACACACACACACACGTCACTACACACACAGCACACATCACACAACACACACACACACACGTCTGACACATCACACACAACCAACAACACACACACACACACCAACCACACGATCACACACAGCATGCACGCACACTCGCGCGAGCGGCATGAACCGCAAGTACACAGACTAACAAACGCACGGACGCACGCACACACATTCACATCTAGCTTACCTGATGACGACGATGATGACGACGATGACGATGACCATCAGCAACGCAGCTGCCGCAGCAGACGCTAGCGCGGGAACGAGTTTACTGATCCCTACGCACAAACAAACGCACAATTACCACCAGGGGGCAGGGCAGGCGGGTAATAGCAGCCATTGCGTCATAGAAGAGATAATATCTGATTCGTCGACTCTGTGAACCGCACGCGTGATTTTTTTCCTAGGTCAATCAAGAACATAGGGCTCTAGTGAGCGCTGCTATTGGTTGAGATTGTTTCGTCGCTCAATGACGTCACAGTCTCGACATATTCATAGCACATGCAAAATCTGTAATTGAAATAACCCTGGTAGCCGAACGAGTACGCACGAAACCCAAGGCTAAAAGGTAGGTGGATCGAATCCCACCCGTTTTTTAATTATTTTCCTGTTTTCTGTATTTTTCTATCTTTATCCGTTAAACAATTTTTTACAATTAACGCAAATATTTACATGATTTATTTACAACAATTTAATAACAACAATTAATTTTTTATATTTTTTTAAAAATAGGGTTAGGATTAGGGTTAGGGTTAGGGTTAGGGTTAGAGTTAGGGTTAGGGTTAGGGTCACAATGCACCATAAAACAGGAGTTTGAGGCACGTGATTTGTATCAACCAATGGCAGCGCCTATGTTATTGATTGACCTAGGAAGAAAATCACGCGAACCGCACGTGACTTAGTACTGTTTGTGGCGCCACCTAGACACATAAACAGAAAAGCATTCGGCCCATCCATCTAATTTAGTTGACACATAGCACTAGCCAATCAGCGTTACGAATCAGGACTTCCAAGAGTTATGCTTAGTAACGAAGTATTGCAAAGGAGACAATCTGGAATGCAAGCGTAATAAACACGAATAAATTGGTCTAGTTTGACAGACATAACGACAATATCCAAGAGAGGGCGTGGGCGGGCAGCTCCCACCAGAGCCGTATATAAAGATACTTATATACGGCTAAAGTAATGGCTAAAGATACTTATAAAGATCTTTGTATACGGCTCTGGCTCCCACGGGCGGACATGTACATTTAAAATGCTGTAATCAAATTATTCGCGTACAAAAAATCGCACATGCCATCGATGATGTTACCCAGATACGACAATGTCATTCGTATACAACAATGTCACCCATATACAACAATGTCACCTATATACAACAATGTCACCTATATACAACAGTTTAACTCAGATACGACAATGTCACCAAGAAACGACAATGTCACCCAGATACGACAATGTCACCCAGATACGACAATGACACCCAGATACGACAATGTCATCTAGGTAAGATTTCCCTGAAAAATTAAAGACATTTTCAATCATATATTAGGCGAGCAAAAATCATAAGATATTAATAAAGAATGCCTTTTCAGACCACGGACTATAACACGCTGTGGTGAATCAGGACGGTACTGCGCATGATCGGGTGCTTGTGTCACAAACTTACCATTCTGTTCCACAGCAGTAGTCGTTGTTCCAACACTAGTTGTCGTGGCGCCATCTNTGTGTGTGTGTGTGTGTGTGTGTGTGTGTGTGTGTGTGTGTGTGTGTGTGTGTGTGTGTGTGTGTGTGTGTGTGTGTGTGTGTGTGTGTGTGTGTGTGTGTGTGTGTGTTAACGAATTTTCATATCATTCGTACTTATAAATTTCATATCCTTGAAATATTTATCGTGACAAAGACTTCGTTCAACTAGCACCCCCTAGTCATCCTCCCTCATTATTACACCCAGCCCAACCCACACAACTTATCCAGCACTCCCTGATTGTTACACCCAGGATAAGTTGTGTGGGTGGGGCAACACTCCCTCATTGTTACACCCAGCCCCACCCACACAACTTATCCAACACTCCCTCATTGTTACACCCAGCCCCACCCACACAACTTATCCAACACTCCCTCGCTATTACACTCAACCCTACTCACACCAATGCCTTCTCTCACCTTTGGAGATAAATGCTGAAGTAGCACCGCTCCTAGTTTCCGTAGATGGAGCTGGGGTGCTTGTGGCGCGTGGCAGGGTGCTAGTGACCGGGCCCAGGTACTCGATTACGTCACATGCTAAAAATAGAAAATGCCATGACATCGCTTCCACTATCCACC